AAAAGGGACCCAGGGGTCCCAGTGCCACCCCACACCCCAAAAGGGACCCAGGGGTCCCAGTGCCACCCCATCACCCCCAAAAAGGAACCCAAGGGGTCTGGGTGCCACCCCACACCCCCAAAAGGGACCCAGGGGTCCAGGTGCCACCCCGAAAAGGGACCCAGGGGTCCCGGTGCCACCCCACACCCCCAAAAGGGACCCAGGAGCGCGGGTGCCACCCCAAAAAGGGACTGAGGGGTCCCCCCCACCCACTACCGAGGGGACCCCAGTGTTGGTCTCACCTTCATCTTGAAGGCCTTCTTGCCCCCCTTCATGGCGTTGTCATCGAAGGAGAACTCGTTCTCGCGGATGATGGCCCGGCTGTCCTTGTCCCCGGTGTAGGTGACGACGTAGAAGGCGGGGGCCCACATCTGGAACTCCCGCTCCCAGTTGATGATGGTGGAGAGCGGGGCGCTGACGAGGAACGGGCCCTTGGTGTGGCCCTGGGGGACAGCGCGTCACACGGGGACACGGGGACGGGGCCCTTGGGGGACGTGGGGACAGTGTGACACAGGGGGATGGGGGGGCCGGCGTGGGAAAGGGTCCTTGGGGGACATGGGGACAGCGTGGGGATGGGGCTTGGGGAGGATGTGAGGACCGTGGGACATGGGGACAGTGTGGCACAGGGCCTTGGAGACAGCGTGGTACGTGGGGACAGTGTGGCATAGGGCCTTGGAGGACACGGGGACAGGGTGGCACATCGGGACAACGTGGGATGGGGTCCTTGGAGGACACGGGGACAGGGTGGCACATCGGGACAACGTGGGATGGGGTCCTTGGAGGACACGGGGACAAGGTGGCACATCGGGACAACGTGGGATGGGGTCCTTGGAGGACACGGGGACAAGGTGGCACATCGGGACAACGTGGGATGGGGTCCTTGGAGGACACGGGGACAGGGTGGCACATCGGGACAACATGGGATGGGGTCCTTGGAGGACACGGGGACAGGGTGGCACATGGGGACAGTGTGGGACAGGGATCCTTGGGGGACGCTGGGACAGTGCGGGCCAAAGCGGGTGACATTGGGAGTCAGGCGGGTGATGCCCAGGCCGGCTGGGTGACGCCAGGGGCCAGGTGAGTGACACCACGAAGCAGGTATGTGACACTGGAGGCCAGGTAGGAGACACCAAGACCAGGCAGGTGACACTGGGGGCCAGGGGAGAGACACCAGAGCCAAGCAGGAAACACCATGGCTGGCTGGGTGACACCATGAAGCAGGTAGGTGACACCAGGGGTCAGATGTGAGACACCAGGCCCGGGAAGGTGACACTGAGGGCCAAGGGTGAGACCAAGGCCAAGCAGGTGACACCGGGGACCAAGTAAGTGACACCACAAAGCAGGTAGGTGACACCAGGGACTAACTGTGAGACACCAGGACCAGGGAGGTGACACTTGGGGCCAAGGGGGAGACCAAGGCCAGGTAGGTGACACCAGAAGCCAAGGAGGTGACACTGAAGCCAAGTAGGTGACACTGGGGGCCAGAGGAGAGACACTGGAGCCAAGCAGGTGACACCATGAAGCAGGTAGGTGACAGCAGGGGCCAGACGCATGACGCCAGTGGCCAAGTGGGAAACACCAGGGCTAGGTGGGTGACACTGAAGGCCAAGAGGGAGACACCAGGGCCCAGGCAGGTGACACTGGGACCAGAGAGGTGACACTGAGGGCCAAGGGGCAGACCAAGGCCAGGCAGGTGACACCAGCAACCAAGTGAGTGACACCACGAAGCAGGTAGGTGACAGCAGGGGCCAGGCAGATGACACCGGAGGCCAAGTGGGAAACACCAGGGCCAGGTGGGTGACACCAGGGCCAGTGAGGTGACACTGGCGGCCAAGGGGAAGACCAAGGCCAGGCAGGTGACACCAGGGGTTAGGCAGGTGACACTAAAGCTAAATAGGTGACACTGGGGACCAGGGAAGAGACACTGGAGCCAAGCAGGAAACACCAGGGCCAGGCAGGTGACACACGAGCCAGGCAGGTGACACTGGGGGCCAACAAGGAGACCAAGGCCAAGCAGGTGACACCAGGGACCAAGTGAGTGACACCACGAAGCAGGTAGGTGACAGCAGGGCCAGGCGGGTGCGAGCTCACCTCCTTGTAGAGGGAGTAGAGGAAGACGATGGTCTGGATGGTCTTGCCCAGCCCCATCTCGTCGGCCAGGATGGTGTCGGTGCTCTGGGCCCAGGAGAAGCGCAACCAGTTCAGCCCCTCCAGCTGGTAGAGGTGCAGAGTGCCGCCCGTCGCCGTGATGAACCGCGGCT